TTTATTATAGTAAAAGACACATTGTTATTTATCCCTTTCAACATACTCAAAATAGTCCCTTTTGAATACACTTATCCTATCATCCTTGGCAATGTTTTTTTTTTTTTTTTTGAGGAACTGGGGATTGAACTCAGACCCTTGTGCTTGCCAGGGAAGTGCTTATTCTACTGAGCCATCTCCCCAGCCCCCAGGCAATGTGTTGTTTATTGTAATAAATTTCTAAAAATGTAGCCAGGTGTGGTGCATGCCTGTAATCTCAGCACTTGGGAGGCTGATGCAGAAGTCACTGAGTTTGAGGCCAGCCTGTGTTGGTTATAAAATGAGTTCAAAGTCAACCTGTAACCACTAGGAAGAATGTATGCAATGTTGATTATTGAAACTGTCCTACCAATTTGGTTTGAAACTGTCTCATGGCTATTTGTTTCTCAATAAAATTATGGAAAAAAAAAAAGTCAACCTGAACTGCATAGTGAAATCTTGTCTCACAAAGATTTTTTCTTTTTAAAGGGGGGGGGGGTGTTTTTTCTTTTTTCTTTCTTTTTTGTTTGTTTAAGGTAGGGTCTCACTATGTAGCTCAGGCTGGCCTCAAACTTATGGCGTTCCTCCTGTCTCAGTCTCCTAAGTGCTGGTGTGCACCACCATGCCTGGCAGTTTTTTTAGTCTCTTATTCAGTCTTGGCTTGAAATTCACTTTGGCTGCAAGTAGAATAGCTCCCCCTCTTTTTTTCCTGGTTTCTGTCACATGGAATATTATTTTCTATCCTTTGACTTTACTCTATGAATTTCTATTTGAATTAAATATGTTTCTTGTATGCAGCAAATTATTGGATCTTGCTTCTTGATCCCCTCTGCCAGTCTTTCTTTTGATTGATGAATTGAGATTGTTAACACTGATGGTTATAACTAATCTGTATTGACTTACCCTTGTGTTACTTTCCCGTTATTTGCTCCCTTTTTTTTTGCCCCTCTGTTTAATTGCTTGGCTTGCCTGGAAGATTCATTATGCTGTAGTTCATGGACTTGCAAGCCTTGTTATCTCTTTCTAGTATGTCCTTCAGAACATTTTGGAGTGCTGGTTTGGTGTTTATGAATTTCCTCAGGTGTTCTTTGCCATGGAAGTATCTTATTTCTCACCAATTTTGAAAGATAGTTTTGTAGGGTACATCAATCTGGGTTGCAGGTCATTTTCTTTAGGGCTTGAAATACTTTACTCCAAATTCCCTTTGACTTGAGAGTTTGTGTTGAGAAGTCAGCTGTGATTCTGATAGGCTTTCCATTATAGGTGATTTGTTTCCTTTCTCTAGCAACTTTTGATATTCTGCTCTTGTGTTGAGTTTCTGGAATCTTAGCTATTATATTTCCTTGGTATAGATTTGTTTTGATTATGGCTAATTTGAGTTCTGCATATGTCACTTATCTGTATGTCAAATTCTTTTTCCTGCCAGGGAATTTTTCTTGCATGACTTCTGTGAACAAGTTTTTTTTGTTTTTTTATATCATTTGCACTGTCTTCTCTGTTTTCATTGACTCTGATCAATTTTATATTATTCTTCTTTGCATCATTGAGCAGCTGCTGGATTGATTTCTCATGGTCCTTTACTATTTTTAAGAAATCTTTCTTTCATGATTGTTAACCACAGTCCTGTCTTCTTTATTTGAGATTCTGTTCTCACATTGGTTCATTCTGTGTATATTTTCAATGGGATTTTTAATCTCTTGGATGTCTGTTTGAATCTGTTTCATGAATTCCATTTCTTTCCTATGGTGGGCATTCTTGGTTTCCATCATTTTCCTATGCTCCTATTTTTAAATTTTATTTATTTATTATTTATTTTCAAATATTTATTTATTTATTTGATACAGGGTCTTGCTATGCAGTTCACACTCGTAGTGAGTGATCCTTCTGTCTCAGCCTCCCCAGTTCTGGGATTACAGATATGTGCCATTGTGCCAGTTTCGGGTTGACACAATCCCAGTACCAGGGATTGAACTCAAATCCTTGCACTTGCCAGGCAGACACTTAGACTGCCAAGCTATCTCCTCAGCCCTATTTTTAAATTTTTTTATTTTTGTGTGTATCTGCTCTAGAATCAGTAAACATATCTTTCATTGTGGTCATCATCTTTGTTGTTAGCTGAGAAATTATTTCTAATTTTTGTGTGTGTGTCTTTTTGAAACAGGGTTACACTATGCAGTTCAGGCTGGCTTTGATATCACTTTGTAGCTCAGTCTGACCTTGAATTCACAACAATCCTCTTGCCTCAGCCTCAGTGCTGGGATTACAGGCACATACCACCACATCTGGCTTGTATCTGATTTGATTTGTTCTAGAGCCTTATTTAGCTGATACCACTTCAGAGAGTCTAGGTGGGTAGCTTTTGGATGTTCTGCCTCATTGCCTCCTGAGATTGCCTTTGGTAAGCTGAAAGTCTGGGGTTGCATCTTGTTTAATTGTCTTTTCTCTCTCTTTCTTTCTTTCTTTCTTTCTTTCTTTCTTTCTTTCTTTCTTTCTTTCTCTATTCCTGGTTTGATGCTTTTAAATTGCCTATGGTGAAAACCTTTATTGCTAGTGTTTAGAACCCTTAGGAAATGACTACTTTTCAGAGATGTCTTCCACGTATAGCTGGCTTTTGAGTTTTGAGTCTGCCGCAAGATCCTACCACTTCAATTCATTGGGGATGAGAAGTTGTTGTCTATTTGGATCAGTCCCTGGTTCTCTGGCACTGGTTTATAGTATTTTTTTTAGGCCCCTTACTCTTGGTATATCAGGAAGAATAGCTGGTTAGAACAATTATGTCATGTTGGCTAAAGTGGTACAATCAGCAATAGCAATAACATCAAATACAACCTAGAACATGGCGAACTGAGGTAACTATTTATTTGCTACCTTTAATTTTGTAATATAACAAAATCTAAAATGAACCAGAAAATTGTATACAATAAATAAACCCTCAATATGGCAGTTTTACCCTTGGGAGAAAAGTTAAAATGAGTTGGGGGAAAAGGTAAAGAAATAAAGGGGGGGGGGAAAGAAATACAAGAGGAAAAGATTAGAAGTAAGGCTAGAGGACAAAGGAAGACCACACAAACTTGGAAACTGGTAAAGAATATCGAAGTTGCAGAGAAAGAAGATATAAAAATAAGAACAGAACAATAACAATTAAAACTAGAGGGCCAGCCGGGGAGATGGCTCAGTGGAATAAGTGCTTCCCTGGCAAGCGCAAGGGCCTGAGTTCAATCCCCGGTTGGGGGGGGGCGGGGGGGGGACGACAAAAAACAAAAAAAACCTAGAGGGCCGGCCAAATAGCTAAGCGGATTAAAGCACTTGCAAATAGGTGCAGGGGCAGGGGTTTTGATCCTGGGCCTGCCATGCTGGCCCCACCCCTAGGGCTTGATGAGACACAGTGGAGACCAGGCCTATAATCCCAGCTCTTGGGAGGCTGTAAACAGGTGGATCACTACAAGTCTGATCTAGTAGTGAGATCCTGAACACCCTGTAGACTATTCCAAAAAAAAAAAAAAATTCCTGAACTCTTCTCATACTCATGTAGCATCTTCTTTATAGTCCTGGTCTACTTCCCAGGAGAATGTTAATTGACTGTTTTGGATGCTTTGACAGTGATTTCTATATTTTTTTTCCAGTTAACTTGCATATTTTATTTATCACTCTTAGAAGCAACATAAAACATTTCCCCTTTATTACTAATGTAAGAGAAAACTGCAGTTTCTCAATGATGAATCTGTTGGGCTTAAATAAAATCACTAATTTTACTTTATTTTTTTATTTTATTTTTTTTGGCGGAACCGGGGATTGAACTCAGATCCTTGTGTTTGCCAGTCAAGCACTTATCCTACTGAGCTATCTCCCCAGCCCCTAATTTTACTTTAAATACTATGATGCCCCTAAAAATAATAAAGGTAGCTAAAATTAATGAGCAAAAAGTTAGTAGAAACAATAACTGCTGTTTTACGAGGCTTGTAGGAGGCTAACTTATAATGAGTGAAGTATTTATCAGTATTCTACAGACCATCATAAGTGATCAGTAAATTTCCTACTATGTAACCCCCAAATTTCCTGTTTATTACCAGATCCTAGAACCCTATCAATATTGTCTCTGCTGTGTAAATAGCTCTGAGTAGTGCAATATTGCTTATAGGGTTTTGGTATTTGGGAAAAACAATGGGCAGGCTGCAGAAACTACTATATATAGCTAAAACTGAAGCAAAGTATCCTTGTCTAGAGAGAAATAGTTGCAGTTAGATGTCATGATAAACATTAAAATCTGAGGTTAAAACATCAATTTCCTTTTTTTTTTTCCCCTTTGGTGGAACCAGGGAATGACCTCAGGCCCTTGCGCTTGCCAGGGAAGCGCTTATTCTGCTGAGCCATCTCCCTGGCCCCTCAATTTACTTTTTAACACAAATTCTTGGTATATAGTCCAGGCTGTCCTGGAACTTGCTATGGAGCTCAGAATGGCCTTGAATTTGAAGCAGTCCTCCTGTTTTGTTCTGTTTTTGTTTTTTTGCGGAACCAGGGATTGAACTTAGGCCCTTGCACTTGCCAGGCAAGCACTTATTCTATTTAGCCATCTCCCTGGCCCCTTGTTCTGTTTTTTGAGACAGGGACTTGCTATACAGTTCAAGCTGGCCTTGAACTCACACCTCTAGTTGTTCAGTGTACCATCATGTGTGGGCCGCCTGTGAGTGCTGGAATTACTAGTGTGCACCACCATACCTGGCTCTAAATTTTAGTTTACTGGAAGGCAGCATTTATCTTTTTTTTTTTTTTT